GAATGATACGGTTCGTTTTTTTTTATTCGGTTCGATTTAACCTAAGACAGTCTAAATATTTCTCATCATAAACGAAAAATGATAACCTCTGCTTTAAAAACTGATTAAAATCCTTTACTCCAGTCTTCACAAAAACTTTTCTGAGACACAAACAAGTGAGGCTAGTGGATTTGACATTTTTACTAGCTAAAGTAAAATTTCTACTAGCCCAGAAAAATAAACCTTTTGTTGTATTATTTTATTCCATTTCATAATGAATTACTCTTCTTTTCATATTTCTTCTGCTTATTTTCTCATTTTGTATTTTTCTTCTGAGTCAATGATAAATAAGTTATCAGAGAAATTAATTAAGGCTGAATTTAACAGAATGAACAATCATGCTATAGATACCTTTTAACATGGTAGTACACATTCATCTTTTTTTCTGATCATTGGACTTCCTCTTCCAAAATGAAGTGAAAGCTAGGTGATTTATTGTTTTTTTTAATTCAAATTTTCAGAAACAATGTTAATATATTTTTGATAACCCTTGTAAATCTTCAGTTAATTAGTTGAGTAGCTGGAAATAATTTAATCAATTAATGTGATATCTACATGTATTTTCCATAAAATCGGAATGAAGGAAATTCGGATTAGTAGAAAAAAAGACGATCGTTTTCATGGTTTTTAGAAATAACAGAGACCTGTATACATGTACTAGTATATAGGTCCCTGGAAATAAATAATGTAGAAGTGCTAAAAGAATTAGATAGAAGAGATATGAACAAGAGAACCACACTTCTTTGATTTTTTTTTTTCATTGGTTGGGGATTTAAAAGCAAAGCTTGGGAAATACCTACTACTTTTTCACTAGCCTGTCGGGCTATTTACTAGCCCATACGAATTTAAACTAACCTCTATTGTAAAAGTAAAGGGTGTTTGTGGAATAAAAAAACTAATCACTGTCTTCAAACTGGCACAATCATTATAAAAATTATTAAAATCATGAAAACAAACACTTCTGATCTCCAATTGGCGGCCATTTTTGTTTATACGTGTTATGTAAATTTTGAATCGAACCGAACCGAATTCCGGAATTCTGGATCGGTGCACCGAATCGTACAGTATGAACCGCGGTGCACCGAAATTTTCGGTTGTCCGCACAGCCCTATGCGCTCGGCACTTTGAAGTGAAAGTTGCGGGTCCTTCGGATGAGACCTTAAAAACCAAGGCCCCGTGTCACGGCAGGCGTTGGCACGATAAAGATCCCTCACTGCTCAATCGCCCTAGGTGCCGAGTAAAGGTCAAAATTTGAAGCCCTTCACCGGTATATGGTGACGTCTCTATATGAGTGAAAAATTCTCGAATGGGACGTTAAACAACATACAATCAATCAATCAATAACCTCTCACTGATATAAAAGCAACCTTACAATTTTGAATGAAAACATGAGAATGACTTTGCAAATTTTAAAATTACTAAAACACAAGTTTGAAGTAATTGTTTAAACATTTTCAGATATGAATAAGGATTTCCATCTTTTTTTTATCGAGTACAATGTAGTTTATTTACCAAATAATTTATATTTAATACAGCACTTAAATCTGTTTTTGCTATTTATATTTTTCTATTAAAAGACAGTTTTTCAACATCTGAAATATGAAAAAGGATATGCAGCAAGAGGACAGTGGATCAAATGTAAAATGCACACAAAAATCTGTATATTTTATTAATAAATGGTTGAAATACACTTCTGAATTATTTAATACTTGACCAGTAGCTCTATTATGCAAATTTTATTGAGAACATTATTAAACTTATGATAATAAAAATTAGGAAATTCAAACATTACACTAGGTTGTTTATCATGTTTATATTTGATATTTATTTGTGACTGACTGGAAATAATTCTCCAAAATAACATCCATTTATTATAAAATCGAAAAGAATCGAAAAAGTAATTATAATTACATTGAAAATTTTAGCTGTAGTCGATTAAATTACGATTACAAGTAATCGAAAATCTCTTCGATTACAGATTATTGTCAATTACTTGAAAAAAAAGTAATCATTACAATCGATTACGATTACATCATCCCTGGTAGAGAAGATTTTCAAAGAAATAATGCACTTTCACTATATGATCTACATAGCCCCACCCTAGCACCAGAACCCCTGCCCCTGGGGTCATAAATTTCACAATTTTGGTATAGGGCTCAATGCTTATTACAATCTTGCCAACAGTTTGACTGCTTGATGTCCAGGAGTAAAGAAGAAGATTTTTAAAGATTGCATTAATTTTGGTGGAGACGCCACCACTTTCCTGTGGAGTTCTGTAAATTTTGACGAATACTTAGCACCTAGGGCCATTGAGCAGTGAGGGATCTTTTTCCTGCCAGCACCTACTGCGACACGGGACCTCGGTTTACACGTCTCATTCGAAGGACCGGTCTTCATGTCCCACAGTGGGATTCGAACTCGCGAAGTAAGGATCGACTCCTTACTCCACGACTCTAGAGCGAACGCTCCAACAACTGCGCCACGCGGGCGACTAGTTACTGATTAAATTCTGGTTTTAATACCTTAAAGTTTGGTCAGAAAGCTTCACTGAGCACTAGCTTATTTCAGAATAATGATCATAGTTTTTATATAAAGACAAATTCTAATGATTAGTCAGTATAAAGATTTTTTTTTTCAAAACAAGGCGACCTAGAATTCCAAACCACAAAATTTGACACCAAGAATTTATGAAAAAATAATTTCCGAGACCCAGATTTCCTGATAATAGATCGAGAATTCCTGTCACCAATAAATTCGGACGATGCAATTCCTCAGAATAACTCAGAATTCCTGACAAGAGAGTTAGTGACAATCTATCATATATAATTTATCAATTGTCAATCCCAACATACATGTACATACACTTATTTCAGATTCAGCACTCAATAAGAATTATTCCTCTTTTTGTTTTGGAAACTTTAAACTAATCTTTACTTTAGCTATCTCCCACCTATAACGAGATCCAACCAAATTATTATAATAATGAAGGATGTTATGGGGTCCAACACAGTTTTTGTTGTTGTTTTAACTGTTGACTTGTTTAAAAAGTTGTGATGATATATTAAGAACTGTTACAAAGTATACGGAGTTTCTTAAGGACATACGCAACGTAGTTTGAACGTTATTGTCTTTTTCCCTGGAGTTGAAGAGTTCCAATACTTAAAGGAACTGTGTGCTACATTTTAATGTCTATATATGCTGTCGTGCATTTCTTCTTAAACAAGTTTGGATAAACAAAGCATCTAGGATATATGTTTAGTAATTATACCCCCGCTCCGAAGGAGAGGGGGGCATACTGTTTTACCCTTATGTGTCTGTCCGTTACAAATTTTGGAGGCAGTTTTCTCAACAACTACTCATTGCAGGTGCTTGAAATTTTAATACACTCTTTGTTTAGGCATGCCATATGTTGGGTTTCATTTTTGTACAAATCCGATGTCAACTTCCAGTTCATCCATGTGTCTGTCCGTACCATACATAACAGATTTTTGTCGTAGTTTTCTCAGCAACTACTCATCGCAGATGCTTGAAATTTTAGCACGATCTTTGTTTAGGCATGCCATATGGTGGGATTCATTTTTGTACGAATCCGATGTCAACTTTCTGTTAATTCGTGCGTCTGTCCGTACCATACATAACAATTTTTGGTCGTAGTTTTCTCAGCAACTACTCATCGCAGGTGCTTGAAATTTTAACACACTCTTTCTTTAGGCATGCCATATGTTGGGTTTCATTTTTGTACAAATCCGATGTCAACTTCCAGTTCATCCATGTGTCTGTCCGTACCATACATAACAGATTTTGGTCGTAGTTTTCTCAGCAACTACTCATCGCAGATGCTTGAAATTTTAGCACGATCTTTGTTTAGGCATGCCATATGGTGGGATTCATTTTTGTACGAATCCGATGTCAACTTTCTGTTTATTCGTGCGTCTGTCCGTACCATACATAACAATTTTTGGTCGTAGTTTTCTCAGCAACTACTCATCGCAGGTGCTTGAAATTTTAATACGTGCATCGGTCCGAACCATTCATAACAAATTTTGGTCGCAGTTTTCTCAGCAACTACTCATCGCAGTTGCTTGAAATTTTAACACACTCTTTGTTTAGGCATGCCATATGTTGGGATTCCCTTTTTTTTTTTTTACAAATCCGATGTCAATTTCCTGATTATCACAGTGCCTGTCCATAACTGAACTTGTGTATTCACATCAGAGCGGGGGTATTATTAGTGAGCATTGGCTCACAGACTTCTTGTTTTTGTATATTTTTCTTTGAATTATTCAAGAATTTTCATCAATTGATATCTTTTCAAAATCCCTGGTAATGCATGCTGATTTTTTATCTACGAACATCTGATGGCACTATAATCTTAAATTAAGAATATCTTGAAAAATTATCAGTAGGTAAGGTACATTTTGCACGTTACGTATGTCCTCAAGTTTGTAAAACAGCTACAGTGGAATTGAAGAGATACTGAGGTTAGTGTGTTACAATATGCATAGCACATTTGCAAATATTAGTAAAGTCCTGTTACTTTCATTATCGAGTGTACATTTTCACCAAAGCTGATGAATTAGTGCACATGTAAAAACTATGCATTCCGTATAAGTTGAATAGGATTCACCAAATGTTATCCGCGAAATTTAATGGTATGCCTTTTAAACTCAAATCCATCAAATTTGTGACCAGCCAATAAAACCAGCTCAACAGTGTATAATTACACTATTAATTGGAAGCGATAGTTTTACATAAACACAGAGATAAAAAAAAAATTCACGTTCCTTTATTCACACAGATTTAAAAACACAAGCTTGAGCATGACAAGTTAGAGGTCTTACCATTGCAGATACACAATCATGCATACAGAAACCTTCTCTTGTTTATACTTATACGAAAAAAACCAAAATTTAAAAAAAAGAAGACAACATTGAGAGCTTAAATCATCTTTCTTATGTGTATTATGAGGTGGTGGTTGTTGGAATTGTAGAACTGGGATCCTCATTTCTACCTCTGCCGAAACACCTCCTCCACTTTTCAAGTACCTTCGGATGGAAAAGAAATTGAATGAAAAGAAACAGGTGGGCATTCATCATGTTGTTGACAATATTCAGGCGGATTCCAACAAAGTCTTTTTGTTTGGAAAGATCGATAGCCAGTTGGTTACAGAAAAGGCGTACCTGTGACAAAAGATAAAATCCAGTCAATTCTACACAAATAATCGATTGCAGTTAAACGCTGATTTGTGAAAGTTTAAGTCTTATGTCGGTAGAAAGGAGGGCTATTACTTTTCAATTATACTATGACAATTTTGGTCCCCCATCTTTGATTTTCAAGAGCATAACGTTGAATATATTATGGAATACTCTGTGTTCATGTTGGCATAATGATATTTACAAGGCAGATATGTTTAGGACTCGGATGTGACAATATATGTATTAATTTACATCCGGGTTATGTTTTTGTTTGATGATATTTGTAGCTAGTTTTGTTGTTCTCGTATTGCGTCATTTAATTAATCAATGACCATTTTCAATTCTAATTTGTGTTTGAGTGATTTATGAAAATCAAACAGAGCCAAAATAAATGAAAGGAAAGGAATTTGACCAAAAAAAAAAAATAAGGACCAAAGATTTGAATTTAAAGGAAGTACAATGTATATGTTGTTATGAAGATATACATGTAATCAAACAGCAGACAATTTATGGTTATTCGCATAAACTTCATCTGATTCAGTAGTTAAAAAAAAAACTTTAAAGGAAATGTTTTCTCTTCTCCAAAATTGAACTAATAAAGAAAACTTCTTGATTATGTTTTACCAGTGCACATCGAAAAGATTGTATATTTTAGGGAGAAGTTTAATTTTATTTTATTTATATAAAATCAAAAGTAAACAAGAGGACAATTTAAATTCACAAAAAGATGAGGCAGAGCTCTAAACAACTCAAATATTTAGACAAGCAAAGACAAAAACGTTAACAAAGTTAACCTTAAAGTCATATATGGCATATTTTTGGCAAGTTCAGGTAACCAAATTAAAAAAGATCTTTCTAATGTATTGGTTTTATTACTTTATATAAAGATAGGACTTTCCAGTAAATTACTCAATTTAAATCAATCGTTTCAAAGATATTAAAAATTAAAAACAAAAACCGATTTATTTACCGACTCCACATTTAAATAAAAGACAAATTTAAAGTCAATTTAACTACAGAAACGTGAATTTATTCAAGCTCAAAATCGGTAAAAATTTTAATTTGAACGTAAATAATATATATCATGTATATGTACACCCAATCTCGTATTACTATTTTTCAAGCTCAGATACGCCGTATATAACTTTAAATGCCTAATGCGGGGAGGGGGTGTTATGAAAATCCACTTTCCTAAGTCAATTTTCTTCGTATACATAATTCTCCTTATCGTTTTACGCGGACTCTTGTGTTTCCTAGAGGGATTGAGGACCAAGGTCATGCATTTTGATGTTACTTTCGATAGAAATTAATTATTCTGAAAATCCCTGGGGGAGTCCAGGCCCCGCCCTTCTAGCTCTGCGAATGAGTCTTTGGCTGTAATTCTAAGTAGTATATATTAGATGTACTAGTATATGGGCCACGGTATATGCAATGTAAATACTAGTTCAGAGAAAAAAAAATCATGAATAGATAACATTCTATTGATAACTGTTAATTATGTATGGAGCTTATGAGCAATATTATATATGCTATTTTATAACAGAACAAAAAAAAAAAAAAAAAAAAAAAACTGGTTCATTTTATTTATTTCTGTGACAAGGGTTTAATCAGATACCTATATACTACTTAGTAAATACGTCCCTGATATAATGTGGTATACGTTTGATTTCCGTTTCCATTCTTTTCCGCTTTCCTTTTTAGCAACACCTGTCATGTACTACTGAAGTCATTTTGCCTGCATACTGCATATAACGACTTTATTTCATAAGCGTTTGATGCAAGGTATACTTCAAAGAAAGTCATTAAACGAAATCTGGATGGGTGAAGTTAAATATACCCAAATTTGACCGAAGTATGGAGCGCAAAATTAAACACATATTTAATGGATGAGAGCAATTATAGTTCACTTGTTGATTTCGAAAATGAGCTTGTCGTCCGCTTATGGCAGTGGTTAGAGCGTTTGCTCTAGAGTCGTGGCGTAAGGATCGAGTTCATCATTATGTCGCAGGTTCGAATCCACTGTGCGACGTGGAGACCGGTCCTTTGGATGAGACCGTATAAACCGAGGTCCTGTGTCGCAGAAGGTGCTGGCATGATTACATGTAAGATTCCTCACTGCTCAAAGGCCGTAAGTGCCGAGTACAGGTCTAAATATGCCGCCCTCAACCGGCAGGTATGAGTGAAAAAATCTCAAAGGGACATTAAACGACAAATTAAGCAAACGAACAATGAGCCTCAATTAATGCTTGCAAGATTTTAAAGCACAGTTTATATGATCAACAATCCAGTGAGGAGTCTTTGAAGAACCCATTGTGAAAACATTCAATGGCTAAATGAATACAGTATCGATATGAGGATCTATACAGTTGGAAATGCACTAAAAGCTCGTTGCCTGCCTGTACCCACAAAACCACAATAATAGTCCACATTCTAACTTGAAGGTTACTCAACTGAATAAAGATATAATGCTCTGGTTTAAGTACTCAAAAAAGTGATTTAGTGAAATGAATTATGTGTATATGCTCAGCTAGGAGAAAGGCATGGATAGACCTTTCCCCTCATAATTACTTCACTGATCAGTTGTTAATATTTCAGCTCTTGGTACTCACTAAAAGGGGTGATGAGAAGACTATATATACAACGGAAATAGCCACCATCATCACTATAAATTTTGTGTGATCTTTGTCCAGTTTTGATCTTGTGTCTATTGGATGCACTTTGTTCATGCGGATTAGCTCATAGATGGCGGAGATATTGCAGAAAACAATGACTGCCATGCAAGTAAAACCTACAAAAAATGTATTGAAATAATAATATAGAAAGCTTAAAACTAAATAAATAAGCAAATTCAAATGCTAGCAACACTGATAAAATGTTTGTAAATTAGTCAAAATTGAAAGTGAAGGTCACGGACATTCGGGACACAAAGACTTCCGGTTGGGGTTATAAATATATAGGATATGTCCAGAGACTTACGAGTATTCCTTTCCGAGGTCTCTGGTTTTAGCCTTCATTTATAACCCAACCGGAAGTCTATGTATCCCATTCGTAGTCTTATTTTGTATCGAGATAATTTTCGAGGAAGAAATGAACGGTTTACAATAAAGAGGATCGACCAAAGACGTCCGAAACGATTAATTTGACAAGAAAAAAAGTCTTTCGAAGCGAACGATGTCATTTTAAAATAGGTTAATGATTGATATATAAACAAAATACGAGCTTTAAGCGGGGGTGCCTGAAATTGAGTTAGCTACCTTGTGGTAAAAATAAGTAGGGATGCCCCGTATACGAAATAGTCAAGTGCCTGTGAGCGAGCTGCTAAAAATGTACATTGGATCAGTTTACTATCCATCTCCAAGGACTATTACTAGTATTTAAAAAACACGATTTCTCTAAAAAAAAATATTCTTTAAAATTTTGTAAATTGTTTAATATCCTTTCCAAGAATTTTCTCAAATTACAAATGATGTATCTTTTATATTTATGATGCTATTATATTAAGAGAAGCAATGTGTATTTATATGGATACAACATAAAATAATTAGACCAGGACAATATTGCCTTTCAATTAAGAGTGAAACATGTACTGGAGTTAGAACTCCAGTGTAAATGGAAATATTCTTTCATAGCGTTATACACGTTATACAAAATCTTTCGCGTGAATTGAAAGAAAAAGTTTTGAAAAGGTCATTTGTCAGTAGCAATAATTGATTCGATTACAAGAAAATTTACGGAAAACAAGTCTTTGATGATATTTTCAATCTTGTTAGACCATTGTTTTCCCGTGATGGAATCTCATTTGATCTGCTTTTCTAATCGATATTTTATTGGCATCTGTAATACTCAAGCACCCCTAATCAGATAGTAAAATAGATAGTGCCTGGTAAAGGAATCAAATAAATCACCTGGTTTTAGGTTTTTTTTAAAAAAAGAAAACATTCTTCTAGTTTTGGGTCAGGTAAAAGCTGAACACGACTCGTATTTAGGCATACGCCATATTAGTTTTTCCAATCTCCCATACAAGCAGGGGTATTGAGGAGGGTTATGTGTTCTAAAAATCAAGACGTGTAAATTCACAATTTGGTAGATTGAAAATCGTTTACCTAATATATCTCTAATTGTAATTTGTTGATCTCAAACTTTTAACTCGAACACTGTACCGTGTAATTCTTGACATTTCCTTTTTATACCTCACACGTCATATCTAAAACGTTGAACTGTCATATTTTGAGTACGTTTATATTGTGAAAATTCAAAACTGTATCATTTCGTATTTGTTGTGTTCCCGTTTGTGAGTCCATATTTTACACATTTGTTCTGCAAAGATGACATCTGACAAAATCTGCAAGTGTCGAGTCAACATGTTTGTCGAATTTTGGCATGACCATATATGGGAAGTCACGGAAACTTGCGATTGGTTGGCGGTAAATCTAGTACAACCGGATGCTGAAAGTCAAGATATAATTCTAGTAATTGTCCTAAAATACCTTGCAGACACATAATTATTTTATTTACCAGATATAATAATTGTGTTAATTTGAAAGAAGTACAATGTAGGTTTCATGGGGGGGGGATAATTTTCGAAATATATATGTATTTTTTCAAATGAAAAATTTTCCAGTGTTCGACTCTACTCCAACAAAAAAGTGGGGAGCCGGGGGGGGGGGGGGGGGGGGGGAGAGGCAGACATCCCTTAAATGATGCATTAATTTGAAATATAAAATTTAATTAATATATAATTCATAATATGAAATTCTCATATTATGAATTATCAATTAATTAAATTTCATGTTATTAATGCAGCAAATTCTTATTCACACACTAAAAAGGGGGCCGGTGCTCCGACCCCCTCCTTACAGGCCTATGAAAAGCATCTCATTTTATTCGGAAGTTGTTCTCTTTTATACAAAACTAGAGTTTCATCTGTTCAAAAGTTGTAAATTTTGTTAGTTTTATAAATAAACATGTTTTACCGCGGTGCCATAGGGCAGGTAAAACGTCGTGCACGAATCTAGAAGGGGGGGGGTGTATATACTGAAGAAAATAAATATGACTTTGGACCCCCCCCCCCCCTTTAGAAAACATGAATTTCACCAACATCGCCACAAGATAGTTTTTTTTCACGGTTGAGAAAGGACATTAGGGTTTTCTTTTTCTTAATTTTTTTTTTTGGGGGGGGGGGCAAAAAATTTTCTGGATATGACACGCTTGAGAGAGGAGTTTTTTTTATTCTTGTCAAGAAATTACTGGGTTGGAAATTTTTTGACTGGGGTGGTCCCCATCCCCTCCCCTGGAAAAAAATTCCTGGATCCTCGCCTGAACGTCTTCGAAAGTATTTCCAAAATATTTTTACTTTATTTTACTTATTGGCTGTCTGGATACTTTTTATTTAATATGTATATACCACAGGAAGAACCGAAAGCTGTCTTGCTGTAAAAAAAAAAGGATTGATGAAAGTTATTGCGTTGATTACCGATACTCATATCTGATAAAGAATAAAGTTTTTGTTAATTCTATTCATTTATTTTTATGAACACCTGGCCTGTAATCTCATTTTGGATTTCAGCGTACTATTCATAGTACGATTTATAATTCCCGAGCATCTAGGCAGGATTCTTAACTAAAGGCGATTTTAGCCCAGAATTTAAGATACATCTTATATTTTGAGTCACAATGATACACAGAAGCTCCCGAGGGAACTCGGACACAAAAATAACCAGAGGCGGGTCCAGCATTTCCAGTTAAGGGTGTAGGTGTCATGGGGTGGGGGGTTAAAATGTTAAATGTAGGAGAGAAACTCGCACTGCTTGTAGATAATTTGAATTTCATAGCAAAAGATTCATCAAGACTTTCTTAATTTTAGAAGACGCCGGATGCATCCCCATGACAGTTTGGATAGAGTAATTTTAAAGACAGTCAGCATGGGTACACGTATAATTTTATATAGAAAACTTACTTGGATGAGGCACGCCACATATTATCTTTTTTTTTTTTGGGGGGGGGGGGGGGGAGTCGGCTGCATCCCACATCACCTTTTTTTAAACCGGAATTTTCAGCATCCGGCTGTACTAGATTTACCGCCTACCAATAGTAAGTTTCCGTGCTTTCCATATATGGTCATGTCAAAATTCGATAAACATGTTGACTCGACACTTGTAGATTTGTACTATGTCAGTTGTCATTTTTGTAGAGCGAATGTGTAAAATACGGGCTCACGAACGGGAACGGAGCAAATGCGAAAAGATACAGTTTTGAATTTTCACAATAACTTAACTCGAAATATGACAGTTCAAAGTTTTAGATACAATGCGTGAAGTATAGTGTAGAAAGGAAACGTCGAGTATACATGTATATTACAGTATGTAGTGTTCGAGATAAGAGTTCGACATCAACAGATTACAATTGTAGAGATACAAGTAAGCAATTTTCAAACAAACAAATTTTGAATTTACACGTCTGGATTTTTGAACACGATTATCATCCATAGGATATCACCTAAGAATTCGGTACACCTGATTGCTTTCTTGTCAAAGGTACCTGTATGGAATGGACGAAGGTGGCTATGTTGGTTAGCTGACATTAACTTTGTTTATAATTAACTGAAGTTTACTTGAATGTGTGCTCGTTCGTAATGCACTGTCCTGTGCACCTGATATCACTTTCTTTGGTAATTTTCTCTGCTGCTGTAGAAGAAGCACGCTGTTGAATATTTTACAAAGGCTATGTAGAATACGTCAACACGGGTGAAAACAGAAAAGTTTATTACATTGAATCATGACCAAGTGAACGGTTCTTATAGCGGCTGTAGATGTAACGAAAAATGTAGACAATAGCGGACAGATTTCTTTGCCTTTTACGAATCGCGTTCAGCTATATGTCAAGCTCATTTCACAAACCTTCAAAAACAAAATAAAGCACAAAAAATCGTCCCCCTGAAGATCTGTCGTTCCAATGAAAGTCACACCAGGATTGATAGCCGTAACTGTTTACGCCCATAATGGGCAAGCACGAAACGAATATCTGAAAAAGAAAACATCAAAGTAAACTAGTGGGAAATATATTATATACCCTGAGAATAATTTCAGCATTCACCTTAGTTCATTGTAATACATTAGAATCTTTGGAAAATGTCAAACCACGGATGTGTTTGTCAACGCTCTTAGTGCCATATCAGCTATCTAATTAGGAAACATTTTTCATACTCTTAAGTAATTGAGATCAAAGATTGTACGATGGAACACTACATACTGCGTAAATTCCTAATCCAACAACGGCACCAATAACTCTTTCCTTCGACATCAAACTACTGTACTTGAACGGATATCTCAGTGCAATAAAGCGCTCAACAGACATTAGCACCACCATCAGACGGGAGGCCATCATAAACACTGTCTGGGAAAAGCCTCTGAAAATGCATCCATGGTATCCCCCAGAATCGCAGTAACCAAGGAAATAATTCGCAACTTGCAAACTTGCGCAGAGGGCTGAAAAATTAAAACAATTAATCTTTCCGTTCTTTTTAATTTAAGTCGTCTCCATCACAGACTGCATGCCTGTCAGGCATAGTTTACAATACATTTCAAAGGTTTAAAAATATGGTATGTAGTATACTTTACAGCAAGACTTTCGTAACAAACCTAATGTATGTTATCGACCCTGTGACCTTCAACTTTACCAAAATATTTCAATATATCAATAAATGTGATGTATCCTTTGAACCATAAAAGGTAGATTTGTGATATATAGAACGTTGAATGGTAACATTAACACAAATGTCAATTCATATTAAATTGCTAGACTAACTGATTCAACAACGTGGTAGCATTAATGAAGATCGTTCGCTTCATGATCGGGAGGTCCGGGTAGGATTTCCGTTCCAAACGCCGCGTCAAACCTAAGACGTATACAAGTTTGGCTTTCCAGAAAGCCTGAAATGTCATCTCTTTGGTTTCATTAACGAAGCTTTAAACACTGCTCACTGACCCGGTAATTTTATGCAGTTAGAGTGATCTGCCCTTTGATGAACAAAGGAATAAGAGGCAATCTACAGTAAATGACACGATTTGAAGTAGATAAATAAATTGTATTCCTAACAGTACATTAAACAAAGATAAAGTAATTAAAGAACATTTTTGCACAAATTTTCCCGATGTAATTAAACAACAGTGATTTTTGTTCTCTTGTACATCATTGTGTTTGAACATTTTTCCTGGAGAAATATGACAAGTACCCTATGTTGAAAATGAACTAGGTAAACCCGGTATAACCTTAAAATGATGCAATTTTCCCAAGTCATAAATTTTTTTTTAAATATCACAGAATAAAAAGTGAATTGTAACATTTATCCCCAGCTATATATTACATATGTATTTAACCTGTGTGAAAATTTTACTTTATTCCTAAGGGTATCCGTAGTAAAAAATAATAAGAAAAAAATTGTAACCACTGAGTAAACCATGCAAAGAAATGGTACAGTAACGCATTTTCTTCCAGTCAAGGTACCTCAGTCGGTAGAGCGCTAGCTCCGTGATCGGAAGGTCGTGTGTTCGAATCACGGCCGCCACTGACCTAATTAAGTCGATAAAAATAGGTAGCAACTGTTCCTTCGCCAAGCGCTCGGCACTTTGAAGTGAAAGTTGCGGGTCCTTCGGATGAGAGGCCCCCTGTCACGGTTAGGGATGTGTATTGAGCCAAAAAAAATCGATACGATACCGGGTATGTTATTTTATAAAGCGACATATTGGCTTCTTTAACAAGTGTATCAAAAATGTCTTGTAAATCATTTTATGCATAACTTTCATTAAAACTGAGTGTTTTATAACCCATTTCGAAGTCCTTGTCTCACTTTCATTACAAAATACAGTTCAAATTCACACTTTTAACAACTGTAAAACCAACATGTTAAAATATAGTTGTCTAATAGATGTATTTTGTGATAGATATTTTAGATGTTCTATCTCCTTAATGTTTGTATCATTAGTGATCAGTTTTAATTCAAAACGGTTAAATATAATCTTTGGTGATTGAAAATTTCAAATTTTTCACAGAATTATAAAAATAAAAAAACTACCTGCACGATACGTATTGGAAGTAATTTCTTCGATACGATACATTCCTGAATATCGATATATTGACATAGCCGAGTAAAGGTCTAAATTTATGGTATATGGTGGCGTCTCTATATGGGTGAAAAATTCTCGAACGGGACGTTTGTTTGTTTTGTTTGTTGTTGAACGTCCCTCTCGAGAATTTTTCACTCGTATGGAGACGACACCACTTGCCGATGGAGAGCTGCAAATTTTATCCTATGCTCGGCACTTACGGCCATTGAGCAGTGAGGGATCTTTATCGTGCCAACACCTACTGCGACACGGGACCTCGGTTTATACGGTCTCATCGGAAGGACCGGTCTCCACGTCCCACAGTGGGATTCGAACCCGCGACGTAAGGATCAACTCCTTACCTCGCGACTCTAGAGCAGACGCTCTAACCACTGCGTCACGCGGGCGACTCGAACGGGACGTAAAACAACATACAATCTACATTAATCTACGAGTCTACCTTTTGGTGGAATTCAATAAAAGGGTTATTAACGTCAATGGCTAATATTTCCCTATAAAGAGAAGCGCGGTGCAATTAATGTCAGTAGCTTTGAGGCATGGATCCTAATTTACAGTTTTAAACTAAAACTAGCAAATTAAAAAAAAAATCATAGAATAATTATACGCCTTTCACCTTTTCTTTGGTGGGATGGGGTGAGAGGATTCCGTATCGTATGCTCTCTAAAATGAAAATGAATAAATATATTTAAGATAAGGTCAACTATATGAAAGAAAGCATGGTAGTTTATCTGGTTGCCATGGAAACCGGGCTAGTAAGTGTAAAATATCAAAATGTTGCTATTTTACATGTATTTAAGAAAAAGATCTAATCGGTGTGGATTGCCAGAAGTATTAGATATTAATAGAAAGGAAAATCAGAAGAAATCAAGGTGGTATAATGTGAAGGCCAACAGAATTTTAACCTTTCAAAGGGTCTTTGAAATATAGAGAGGTAGTGGAGTGGTAGTCTCAATTGGAACACGCGAGTAATTTTTTTTAATTAATAATCAATTCCATTGTCACATGTAACTGACTATATATTACAATATTAAATAATCAGGACATATACAGAACCATGAAAACTTGGATGTACAGATCACATGAAAATAAACCATACCAGTGTGAACTTGTGCCACATTCCAAGTGGGAATCTTAATTTTATTTGTTGAGATTGGAACTCGTAAATTTACTTACCTTGTCATTGGTCATTTGCCCCTTCTTTTGTTAAATAAATATTCTGATTGTACACACAAGTACTCTGAAGTTGATATTAAAAGGACACTTGGGTTTCTGATTGACAATATCTATTCTGCCTGGTGCAGGCAGATAGCTAACCATCGACATTGTACAACACATGAGAAGTCAAAGTCACACGAAATAAATTTATTCTTCATGTTGTGTGGGTCATGAGTGTACACAGTATGAGTGCGCGAGTTTGTTTGTGGTAAAAAGCTACAAATGCTTACAAATAAAGTACAAAAAAAAAGTTCAAAAAGATATAGTATTTAAACACAAGTTAAAAAAAAGGTATTACAAAATTTAGTGACCAAAATGACATGCCATACTTTAGAGAATGTTTTTACCTAAGAAAAACTTTTTATCTAAATAGAAACTTTATAAAATACGTTCAAATAATGTGAAAATATAGCTCAAAAATAATATAAAAAGACTTACATAGTGGTTTTAGGCACTCAAAATATCTTATGCATTAGGATTTCTAATTAAGAAATAGCCACACCAGGGCTGGTCAAGCAGGTCAACAGGAAGAGAGTAACATTGGAGTTAACTCATACCAAAAATAGATACATAATCATGGTAGTTAAGTTGTACCATGTAAGTTTTCAACAACAATAATAATAATAGACAACACAATATCTATGTGGTTTTTGGAGACCAGGTCTTCCAACAATCTATTGGATTTCCCATGGGTACCAATTGCGCCCCGTTATAAGCAGACCTATTTTTTTATTCATATGAAGCAGAATTTGTTAAAAATCTTATAGTTACATGAAAAGAAGAAAACAACTTGCTGTGGCCTTCAAATCTACATTTAAATATATCGACGACGTATTGTCAATTAACAATGGTTATTTCCATTATTATGTCGATACGATATATCCCAGTGAGCTTGAAATAAAAGTTACCATAGAGTCCGACACATCTGTTTCATATTTCGATATTTTACTAGAAAAAGACGATAATGGTAATCTAACAACCAAGCTTTATGATAAACTTGATGACTTTAACTTTTCAATCGTCAACTTCCCTTACTTATGCAGCAGAATACCTTCATCATCTGCATACGGGCTTTATATCTCAGTTGATTCGATACGCAAGAGCATGCTCTACGTATGAACAATTTCTAAAACGAGGTAAGTTATTGACAAACAAGTTGATGAAACAAAAATATCACCAGTCTCGTTCCGATCACTGAACGAGCGTTCTACCAACTGAGCTTCCCCACACATACACTGAATCCCTGGCACAGGGGCCAAGAAACTCAAATTTGGAAGAGGCACTCTTGCTCATCATAACCATGCACTTGGATCATCGGCTTAATACCCAGGAGAAGAGATTTTCAAAGAATTAATGCATTTTCACTACACCGAATCGCGGTTTTCTTAAGCGAGTGTAAAATCTGGCGTTTTGCATGCTCAAAGGTATGCCAATATTTTTGGCGGTACTATTTTTCGCGGACAGGGTGTTCCATGAAGTTGTAAGCCAATAGCATTATTTTGGTATTGCTTTAAAGTGTTTTAGGTATCTTAGGTAGCACCCCGCTAAAAATTCCCTTTTTACGGTATAATCAATAGAGCCCCACCCGAATTCCAGATACCTTGACCCGGGGCTATGAAATGCACAATTTTGGAAGAGATACCCTTGCTCATATTGACTATACATTTAGTTTGTTTGCTGAATACCAATGAGCAGAGGAGAAGATTTTAGGGAAAATGCATTTATGACTATATATTCAACAAAGACCCACGCTATCACCAAAACCCGACGTAAGCAAGTCAAATCCGGAGCGGAGTTATTTTATAACTGTTAGAGTGATATAAGTGGAAACCGCGCGGAGTTTGGCCGGAAATTTAAGGCGAAATATGTGAATTAGCTCCGCCTGGAAACAGGATTCCGCCTGAATATAGATTTATAGATTCCGTCTCAACTGTCCAAAGTATTGCATAATTTCTCTTGGACCCACAAACATGCCAAATTGATAGTTCAGTCTTTAAATTTAAAATAATGCTCCTCAGATTAGTTGCATAAACATGTTGAAAACTGAAAAAAAGATATTAATTGTTGCTAAAAAATGATTTGCTCTCGTGCACTCAAAGACTAGATGTTACAATTAATTTAATAATATTACTTGAGTTTATGAATAA